ATCCGTCCACGTGACATGCGCGTGCTGATTTGGTGTCAGCCGGCGATATGAGTGCAGTCGATAGGCGAAAAGTTCATTGGTACGATCTGATTGGTTCGATTTCACTCCGACCTCGGACCTCCTCCTATGTCCCTTGTTCGCTTTAAATCGATAGTTCAACCGTCGATTTCGACAATGTCCACCATGAGCTTCAACAAGTTGAAGCAGCGCGGTGACTCCCGCGAGATATACAACGAAAGTAGGGTCGCGGAGAATCTATCCCATTCTTTCACCATTCCCCATACCGGGACCCGGTTGTCGAGACAAAGTCAAGAAGGCCAAAGATAGGGAAGGGCGCAGACTACTCGCACGACCAACACTCAACACGCGTACCAACAGCACGTCTCGCTAGATAGGCTCCCTACTGGGAGCGCCATATAGGCCACATTAAGAAGGAGCCATTTAGCCCTACTCTCAGCCCGCAGTTAGCCATTTAACACAACAAGGCAGACTGGACCGACTGCGATGTCCAAGTTATCTCGTCCGTTGGCAACCCTCCAAGCCACGGCTGCTAGCGCACCGCAATAGTTTCAAGCGCATCAGATGGATTCAAGTGAGGAAAGAAATGCGCTGAGGGTCAACCTCACTCTCTCCCCCACTGCCAGTAACAGGCCAGGGCCTAGCTGTCGGTCGACTGAGGTAGGGTGGACGCAGTGCTGAAAAGGAAAACACGTCGGAGATGAGCATTTTAGAGCAGGTTGTGCAAGGAAAGAGGCAGGGAGACAGCAGAGAGCGAGAGAAGGGAAGAGAGAGAGAGAGAGAGAGAGAGAGAGAGAGAGAGAAAGGAAAGAAGAAACGAGAGAGAAAACAAGGAGGAGAAACAAGAATGAGAACAGAGCTTACCTTTCAGCCTGACCTTTACCTTATCTATTGCCTTAAATAGACTGTAAAACTACGTCAATATTCCTCCCTTCTTTCGCCCTTGCCGTTGAGTTCGTATTTGGGGATTCGATCCAAAATGGGTAGTTGGACGGGCAGCCAGCAAGACGTACACACTGGTTCGTAACAGTCTGCAATCATGTGAGTGCTGTAAACTCAAGCAGGCGCGATTTCCGTCCTCGACAGAATGGCACTTGTCTTTCGAATACTCATGGTTCAGAATTTTAGAGGAACACAGGTGCTAAGTAAGTTTGTAAACCACTTACCCCCAGAAAGTGGCAAACAGTCACGAGTCAGGAGCCCAGTCTATAGGCTAAACAATAAAGAACACCATCTGGTTTACAATCCATCTTCTGTTCACCAGAATAAATTTGAAGATTTGCTGACGTTTCGGACAGCTGGGCCTGCTGTCCTTTGTCAAAGCGAATACTGACTGTTATCGATCAGCAGTTAAAAGTTGCGGCTGTAAGTGTTGACCTTGGGCTGATCGATTTTGCTCCGTTCGCTGTCTGGCCTTGCGCATGGATTTTGGCTTGGCGTGACGGCAGTTGGCGGTCTGTTCTGTCCCCACGGTAGAGGATGCTGGTAATCCTGCTCCCTCTTCC